GATACTTTCCGAATGCACTGTATGTTCTGTGCCTGTTACATTCTTGTCTTAACTTCCTTTTCTTTCACTTTAATTCATTTTGTTTAGTCTGCTTTGTTTTCTTTTATATTTAAGCAGCAACAGTCTTTATAATTTATAAAAATAAAATGTTCCATTAAAAAAAATTAAAGTTCTGAAAAGTGATGAGCTTGCTTATCTCTTACACACCCATAGGAGTTGCTTGTAGATTATACAACAGTCTGAAGCATGTGTCTGGAAGGGATCTAACTCCTGCAGTTGACCAATAACTGCTTGCCTGATTTCCTTGGCTGTGTGTAGTTGGGGCTTTGGGGAAATAGGCATTAGATACAAGGCGTGTGCAGATACTTCTAATACCACCATGCAAAGCATTGAAAGATTCAGTGTGTGTATCTGCACACAGAGAACACCACCCACTAGGAGACTTGGCCAAAGCAGCTGCTTCACTAGCTATCCCAGTGCAAGCATCTGCTGTGTGTGCACAGAAGACCTCAGGACAACCATGAAGCAGCCACACTTTGAAGAGCTGCATTGCTTTGTGTAATGACACAGGGGGGTGCTTCCCTCACAAGCAGAGTGTCCCATCAGAAGACCTTAGATACAGACTTAAGGTTTAGAGGAATCCCCATGCTTTGTTAATTAATTCTTGCAGCCAAACGTATATCATCCTCTGTAAATTCCTAGGGGTCCCACCATATTTAAGCATTAGCCATGCTGGCTTAACATTCTGGGAATTATAGTCCCCAGCACATCTGGAGGACAGCCAGTTGGGGAAAGATTGCTTGCATTTTTAACTCTGGTTTAGAACACCACAAACTAAAATGCCCTATTTTGGAAGAATGGAAGAGCAGTACATTGTCCATAGATGTAGGACCCTCAAGATTATGGAAACTATTGTTGACATGTGCCATGATTAGCATATGAAATTAGGTTTGTGTGAATGTGGCAACATGGAAAAGTTTCACACAGGTTATAATGCTCTAGAAAGGAATAGGTCATACCATGCAGCCTTTTGAAAAGGGCCTTATTTGCAACTTAATCCTGTGCATGTTTACTTGGAATTAATTCCCATTAAGTTCAAGAGTGCAACGCTTACAGCACACATTATCTATATCATTACTCTAACACACTGTTTCTCAACCTTAGCAACTTTAAGCTATGTGGGCTTCAACTCCCAGAATTCCCCAGCCAGCCATTCTGGGAGTTGAACTCCACTTATCTTAAAGTTGTTAAGGCTGAGAGGCACTGCTGTAGCAACTTGTGTCCTATCAAGTCCAATACAGGTCTCTGTTGATTCAAAGAAATTGTTTATATTGCATCCTTTGGACTGAAAAAATATGAAGGGGCAGGCCAAAATACAGGTTTCAGACTGTGTAGTCTTACATTGTTTTAAATGTCTGAGAACTAAATTAGACATGGGGTAATTGTATGATTTTAACTGTGTATTTGTCTTATTCACATGTAAAGCAAAAAAGGGCATCTTCCATCAATATTGCCTCACCTTACTTACCTCTCTAACTTTTTCTTTTCTCTATCCCCTTTGGCGCTGGATCTGTAGTTAAAAGCAGCAGCAAGATAATATAGAGCAAAGAGGCCAAGACTGAAAACCTCTTTTGCCCACTATTTCCTCCATATTGCTGTTTGACCTCTACATACAATCTTGTTGGCTGACAAGACCAAGAACACTTCCAATCTAGATCTCACACATATCCCCTTACTCCAAGACTGTGTTTAAAAAATAAAATCTTTAAAAAGGGAAAAAATGAGAATTTGTGAAATCGAGTGACTGAGCTCACACAGCTTACAAAAGCCTCTGATGCAAACACATCTATGTAGTATCAGGAGCAGAAACAACATGGCAACATCCCCTAGCCTCTTCTGCACATTTCTCCCAGATGCCAAACTTCACTTAAGAAGCAGCAGGGCCTACTTAGGGGCCCTCCCCCTTACGATCCCTGAGGCTGGGCAACTGAAACGGGTTCGGTCTGTAACAGACTAGCCTTCCCGCTTCTTGCTGAAGTCTTACTACTTGAAGCGCTGGGGAGCAATGTGTTACGTTCTCCAGCTTTTTTTCCCCCCTATCCTTACAACCGCGTTGTAAGATAAATTGGGATTTTCTCCGCCGATCCTGCAACTATCCCTGCCGACCTTCCCGAGCCAAGCGCTTCTCCCAGGCACCCTAGCCCAGCTTCCGCCAGCT